ATGAAACAAGTAAAGCTCTATCCGATTTTCTGATGGAAATTTGCATCCAAAACTATATAACGGGAGAAAATTGCAATTTTATGGCTTTTTTCTTCATAATTGTGTCTCTGCAAGTGCATTTTCTTCAAATTTATTTTTTATTTTTTTTGTATTATGAATAAACACGATGTTTTGGAAATATTTATGAAAAGAAATTTATACTATGTTGCTAATTACAATTTCGAGATAACCTTCTTTTATTTACGAACTTGTGTCTTTGATGCTGAAATTGACAACTTTATAAAAGTACATTTTCACTGAAATTATGAAATCTGGGTGTCGGAAAGGTGTAAAATTATTCTTCGGAAAAGAAAAAAAACAGTAGTTGAGCTAGATAAGAAATTATACGGGGGCAGGCTCCTATGGAGAATTAACATTACTGGAAACAGGCCCTTTGTATGAAATACGGAAAGAAATGTAATGTAAATTATAGGAGAATTACTCGCTCACAATTTCAAAAAGTACATAGGTGGATTAAACAGTTAACATAAATAATTTTAAAACACCTATTCTACAAAGTAAAATACTGTTCCGAGACCTGATCGGTCTAAAAAAGGGTAAAATAATCTATATACACTCAAACAATAGGTAACGTTGCGTTATTGTTGTTACAATGATAACGGACTGTCGTCATATCACTTCATAGATGTTAATGTTACTAACCGACTGCTAACTAATAACTATTTTTGTTGTTTAGAGTACTAGCGGACTATAAGAGTATAATTTTATAGTTGTTCAAACATTAACCGGTTGTTAACATATAAACAGTACTGAAGAACTTTTGTTAACTTATAGGTTCATTGTTATTGTCAGGATTAACACATTGTTAAATGTTATTTTATTGGTAGTATACAATACCAAAGGACTGTTTATATATGACTTCATTGTTAGTGTCAGGACTAACCCACTGTTAACATATCCTGTTTTGTTGTTTAAAGGGCTAATTAACTCATTAAGTTTTAAAGAACCCAATACATAAACATTCACAAAAATATATAAACAAAATGTAAAAATAAATCGTTTGTATGAGAAAAAGATCGAAGTATCTGGTTTAACTGATATGAGTTTTTAGAACGACACCGAAATATGTCATCCTTTTCCAGGAAACAAAAATAAGATCAAGAAGTTATTTATATAGGGATTCATTTATAACCTAGTTTAATGAGAGTTATGAGACACTGTATATTTATAAAACATTTTAACACAATGTTTCACCTTGTGGCTTATTGTATATATGTTATTATAATGCAGGATAGCACAATTGATGATAGCTAAACAATGGTTTATCGTTCGACATGACATAATACATCATTACACTTAAATATCTCTTGCATTGTCTAATAACAAAAACCTGTTAACATTGTATCAAATATATAACTTAAATGATTGACAGTGGGTATTACAATATAATGGATTACAGTGACACAATTTGTAACAGTATGACACTGTAGTATACAGTAACAATTTATTACAGTACGTTGATGTGTTATATTATGACAAAGTGTTTTAGCATGATATTTCATTACAATATTGGACATGACATATTGTATTAGAGTAAGATAACATATCGCAGTATGACACAATGGATTGCAGAGTGACATTGGTCTTATGTATAACATCATGGCAATAATATATGACAATGTATATCAAAAAATGTGCAATGTATTTGTATGACAATATGGCATTAATTGCTTGGTTTTCGCTGCATACACATTGTTTTTCATATTTCTGTTAATGATATTATACTTACTAGGTGTATAATCCCGCTCACGGAACTCGAAACATTGTACTTCCGATGCTTTCACGAGGAAACATATTTCCCAAAGTCCGACATACAGCGTCTTGTCCTCTGAATGACACCAGTGAGCAGATGCTACACTGGTTATCGTTAGTACAAACCCTATCACCAACAGACATGTGCCTGGCACGAGCTGTAAGCGTTCTTTTGTACATCCCATACCATGGTCAAATACAATCTCCAAAATTCGACTCTTTGAATAACATATTCTGTTCTGTACAACCACTAGGGAAGATGTGAAGCAATTTTATGTATCACATACTATTGATTGAAATTTGTTATTACGTCCTTTAACCGTGCATGTCTTTTTCTGTTGATACTAAACAGCAATAAACGTGTATCTTAACAGACATCAAAGAGCCCGACATCTCGTAATGACCATTCCATCGTTTTAATGTTATCTACGTCCTCTGTGTTAGCGATTGTACGTGTAATACTTTAGTCCACAGCCTGTTAGTGATATCACGGGTCTGACAGGTGAGGTAGTGCCGTTAGTTTTCCTACACCTTGAAGTAGCACAAGGCGATTCGTATATGGTATTGGTGTGATGATCGCTAGATTGACAGCGTACCAAACGTATACCATACATGTACACTACCTGTGTCGTACACATGTGGTTAGTATTTAACTGATTACAGTTTGAATGTAAATTCAATTGTATAAAGTAGATATTCAAACTGCTGACCCGTGTGTTGCCATTTCCCGTTAATTTATCAGGCTGTATATTAGTTTTGTGAGTGAGGTCTTATAAGATAACATAGACGCGCGTTTTACAGCGTATCAGTGAGACGATATGACGGGTAGAGGTGAATGGAAAGTTACACACCGAGAGAAAAGGTTTTCTATATACAAACTGGCGGAGCTGTACGACATTTGACTAATGCACGTTGACAAGTAACAAGTTGTTCACATTTCAAAAGTTCTAAGCCCTAATTTCATAACAGGTACGATAAAGCGGACAATTTACAACGGCTCTCTTCAACATTGGCAGGGGCACAATATGTCATGTTGATAATTTATGACAGCTATATATTAAAAATGACGTTTGTTTCATTGTCGATATTGTTTTTTTTCTATTTAATTTGATAAATTTACTTTTTCTAAACTTATTAAGTGATTAAGTGGAACCCCGTCTTTTAAAAACTCATGTCCCCTAGCTAGCTCCATGTGTGATATGTGTCATTTAAATTATTATTTAATATGTGTCAATGAATTATGTAGTCAACAACATTTTGATAAATACTCATTCTATTCCTACTCTTTTACACTGGCCAACAACACGAATTTACAGACATGCGTTTGAAAGAATGTGCTTGGTAAATTCTCGAAAAGATAACTCGGTACGAAAAGTATTCAAAGTATTTCAATAAAATCTGAGTATATTAGTTAATAAATCATTAAAGTTTTTTAATACCCACATGCATGTGTTTATTATACACTCAAAATGTAAAACGGTACAAACACTGTTTTACATAACTCAGTCAATAGATTATATATGTAAGTTTTATAAGTTGATTCGTATTATTAAGAATCTATCAAAGTTAGTGTACTTGATGACCAATCTCTCCGTATCTATTAATAATATGTTGTGTTCAAAGACATCATTATATTGATAATGTGTTTCAAAGATTATTTAACGGTTTCAATTTCTCTTCTGATATTTTCCTTACTACACAATACGTATACATTATTATATGGGGCCAAGGTTTGCTGTGTAAGTCATTAGGATCCCTAGATCCACGCCCTATATCACCAGTACAGGTAGGGCCGATAACATACAGGTAGTAGCTGATTACTTACCTCAATTCAATACCTGTACATTTAAGGAACAAGTTTGTCATACCAGGCCGAATCTCGTCAACAAATCATTTCACTTGGGAGAGAGGTCAAAAATTACTTTAAATTATAATATAAACATTTCAAATTTACTATGACAGGTGTAAGTAATTCTGTGTTTAATTGAAGTAACTTGTCCGCTAGTACACGTATTTACCGTAGACATTAGGAACGGAAACCGGACCGGAGATCAAATCGGTCAAACCCATTCACTGAATGTGTTACCGGGAAAAAATCGTACATATCAGATTGATTGACAGATTTGTTCTCTCTGTAATAGGGTAAGGGAGAGTCTTGCGAAGGGTTCCATAAAGTGACTACACAATATTTACTGTGGAACACTCTGCACTGTCCGGAATTTGTCTGTACGTTGTGCTCTTTTATCCGGAAAGCCTAAATGTCTTAGACCGTACAATGAAGTGCAGGTGTCGGGACCGTCGAAGTTCCATTTAGACAATGAAAAATAATGTCATTAAATTAGAATTGCCACCAACCTATTGTAAAACTGAAGTAACTGATTCAATGTTAACACAGGGGAAGTTGTACATGGTACAAAATCAGAATACTAATTTAAGTAAACCCTAAGAAAAGGGTAATTGAAATAGCTCGATAAACACCTCTTTCACAGTAGTCATCTATGAAGCCATATCATACTCATGATATTCAAATGTTTCTATTTTGTTTTATCACATGTAGAGAAGGGAATATCAACAGTTAGTTATCCATTTTGTTCTATCGCAATACAAACATGTTGTCATTCATGAGGTTACCTTTGTATGTAAACCCGCTGTACAGGCTAGTCCATGACTATGTCAATAGCCTGGTATGTTCGGCAGATGAAAGATGTGATGCCCTCATTGTGTGTAAGAGTTCATAATCAGTTTCGTTTTTTTGGTGTCTTCTCAGCTACTATTCTTTTCATGTTTTATCGCCTTTGTGATCCAAGTTTGTCCTTGTGCAATGAGGATGCGGTACGTTTTATAGCTTACTTAGCATTTATACAAATGTTAATGTGTAGTCAATGTTTGCTGAAAGACAGGTTGTAAGTTTTTTTTCTATACAAGAACGCATGGTAATAAGTGTACTTGTTATCTAATGTTATGACTTTATCAATACTAGTTACTCTATTTTCTGTATATTTGATGACTTACCAACACAGGCTTATAGCGAACATTTTCCAATGCCTGATCTAGGTGCAAAGCTATCATAAAGACTTATAGATGAAATAATGCAATATATAAAATGCTTAAGTTATTGAAAGGAAATATGCACTTAAGTAGGTGGGGATCGATAAACCAGAGCACGTGTTATATAACAAATATCGGTAAACGTTAGACAAAAAAAAATACTTTCAAAAAAACAATATATATAAATATATATATCCTTACAAAGTCAAACGCACCGTATTATGTAATGCATTATTTTTAAACAATTGTGGCCTTTGATTAAATTCTAAAGCTATGCTCTATTAAAGTATGTGTCAATGTAAAGCAGAGGTGGGTAATGGTGTTGAAGACAACCCATATGTGGGCCTCGGTGTATTTGTAATATTCGTTGCATGTGAGTATGTATACAGTGTTACACCAATGCTTACATGTAGTCTAGGTCTCCTCTATTTATCCTCCCACATACGTTGTTACATACCTTGATTTACCGAATGGACATATTTTAAAAGGTCTAACAGGATTTATCGAATTTTATCTTTGATTTATTAAATAAAATAGGAATCTTATGCACAAAATACATCACATTGTGGTATTTCATTGATATACAATGAAGTGAATTAACTCCGTGCATATATTAATTTGTAGTCAATAACAACAATATATTTGTTGCAATGCAACTGTTTATATTATTATTATAAGCACTGGTCAAGTTTTGTATAGGCAATATCATCAACAATTTGACAGTAGAGGAAAGGTGGGTTATGATGACATCTATTATTTAGTTTAAACTTAGTTTAAAATAATTCGAACTGTTTAAATGTAAGCCGTGAATGTAATTCTATAAATCTATATGATCGCGTAGACTTTAAATATGTTTCGAATCTATTTTTGTTGATCTTTGTCAAGGTTAGTACACAGATATATTGATCACAGGTAAGCCCGAAATGTATGTAGCGTGCTATACAAACCATTAGCCACCCCCGTTATTTAGCTCAACTAAACCTCAGGTTTCCATCGACCAAGTTAAGAAAACGTTCTTGCCTAAGAAGTCTAGTTCAAATAATCTTTAATAAGTCTTAATAAGTAATGGGATTTCTCCTTTTATTCCAGTTTGCTCCCACTCTAAGACCCCCTTAGACGCACTACAATCTGAGCTAAAAAAAGTGATTGATATTAACAAATTGACAGAACTTGTTTTGCAATTGTCATAAAACAAATAAGGTTCAATTGAATAGTTAAATCATTGATAAGCTACATTCTTCCCATCCTTTATTGATGTATCTCCCATTTAAGTCAGAAGAGTCAGCTTTTCACCCCTCATGGATATATATCCTCCTGCAAGACAACACCCACTAAATTGTGATGTCACAAAAAGCGAATAGCGATATTCATACACCACAAGTGCTTTTGTTTACGAACATGACAGGCTACTAATGTGACTGCAATAATAGGATGTAAGAAGAATAATCATTTCCTACCTTGAGGGTGTAACACAGAGATATCTCCAGCTATCGGGGTGATTATTTGGTTCTCTAACCCTTGTTGAACCTGGGGTTAGATAACCGACATAATCTCTCCTCGAATTGGATATTTCGCTGTCACATCTCCACGACAGGGGGAGATTTTCCATGTATTTCATAATACAATTTAAGTTGATATCCATTGTCTTCTATGACAATCCATATTAAGATTAAGACAAATGAAACGCTAACTCTTCACAAACACCTTTTAGCCTATGTTGTATATTAAATTATTGTCTTTCATTGTGATTGGTGTCTTCCCGTGTCCAGAATTTACATCTTTTTTCATGTTTTAGGTCTGCTTTTTCTTTGTGTTTTTGACATATCCGTTTCACGTTGCGTTTTGAACGTTTAGTTGAGCAAACTTTGTTTACTGAATCATCACTGCTCCTATAAGCTTGAAATGAAAGTGTTTTGTGTAAGTTTGTTGAGAGATTTAATTTTCACTCTGAATTAGTTTTTTTATACTCTCGGTCTCACCAAACGTCACAGAGAATTAGATATTATCATATTTGTCCATTGTTCAGATACGACATTGCCAATAGAAAGTGGTTTTGTCAAAGGAAACTTGATATTCGTACTCGCTGAATATGACCTAAAATACGGATTATTTCTGTCCTATGAAAGCAGAAAGTTTTAGAATTATCATAAACCCATGAGTATGGCTGCTTCTGAATGAAATATATCGAATATATCAAAATGTGCCGCACAATTAACATTGCAAATTCTGATCTTCTTAATTCTCCCTCTCCTGCAGCATTAAAAAAATATTTGAATAAAGATATTATTTCTGATAGTGAATCTGTTTCAATTTTCAAAACAGAAGGTAACCGAAGAGCAAGTATTATTCTATGTCGACTTCAAAACTCTTGCAGTAATTTAAATTATGATTTACACCATGACCATCTTACTAATAGTCCTGCTTGTACCTGCTCTGCTGAACATGAAACAGTATCTCATTACTTTTTGGAATGTCCTTTTTTTAATAATCAAAGAACAACTTTGTTCACTTCTCTTAATAGTTATGGAAACCACAACCACATTGATAAAAACATTCTTCTCCAGGGCTGTCCTGATTGTGATGGGCTTACAAATAGAAGAATACTTGATGATGTGCATATTTTTATTGGAAAATCCCGTCGTTTTAATTTTTATATGACTTAAAGCCATGATG